TTTGTTTTTGTAACTTTCTTACAAGGACTACACATAGAGGACATATTGCATAGAAGTAATAATGGTATAGTTTTGGTAACAGTTACATTATCTTTTATTTCATTATTGTCAGTTTGTATCTCAAGTTGAAAGACTTTTATATTTTATAAGCTATTCAAATGAGCTGACATAAGTTCTTCTGTTTATATTTTTTTCTATTGTCAGCCTAGCTGTACTAACTTCCTAAAAAAATGGTTAATCGTCTTATAGGTTCACAGAACTTTATGTAGAAGAACTGGAAACTAAAGAAGACTTACAAATTCTTATTGTGGATTATCTGAAAGGATTGAGTGTGAACAAGAGCACAGTGCAAGGAATCATAAAGTAGGTTCTCTTTGGCATGTCTTCATAAACTCTGAACACAAAAATGTGTACCTCATGAACACACATAGACACACATTTTTCCTTTTTTGTTTTTAGTCGAGAAGACTGACGGAAAGATTATTATTTAGATTGTCTTTTAAAGTTGGAATCTTACGAACTCCTTCAGATTTTCCTAAGGAAACTATATAGAAAGCTATGAATCACTATCCGTGAGAATATGTTAACACTCTCCTGATTACCTGTGTGTTCATAGCTAAGGGTTTGAATTCCTGGAGAAGATGTAATGGTTTGTGTATAATCTGTCTTGATGGTGATCCCTACATCTCACATTGCGTACTAGCTGTGTGGAATGTAGGGGAACGAAGGTTAATACGATTGATTCTGTCACGTTTGGAGTTAATATAGGCCTAGCTTGATAAAGTATAAAGTGATTGTGTGGCTTGGTGCTTTAATTTGAGACTATCTTCTTGGTTTTTTGTATGCCACATGGAAAGAATGTAATCTTTTCTGTCAGACAACCTCATTTCTAGCACTAGTTCTGTAAGAAAGTAATTGTGTCATTCTGGGCAAGTCACTTACTTAACTTTGTGTCCTCTAGAAAGAAATACAATATATAAAGGGATTGAAATAGGATCATGAGTGTGTTACTGTGCATTTTGTGCTTTGTTCCTTGTTTTTTTTTTTCTTTTCTTTATTTCAGCATATTATGGGGGTACTGTTCCTTGTTTTTTAAACAAATATTTATTGAGTGCCCTGTTGCTAGGGATATATTTGTGAATAAGATGGATAAAATCCTGCTCTTTCTCATGGAGCTTTAATTCTAGAGTCAGAGATAACCAATAAATATGGAGTAATGTACTATAATTTTAGGTTATGATGAGTAAAGAAATATAATACATAAAGCTGAGTGAGGTGTTAGAAAATGAAGATGTGGAGTCCTATTTTAAATAGGTTAGTCAAAGAGGCATTTTTTCAAAATGTTTTGGAATGGCTTACCACTCCACACCGAAAAATCGGAATACTTTTTGATAGCCAGGAATATTTGGACAAAAGTATAAATACATGTAGCTAAGATTTAAGAAGCTGAAGATAAAGAAGTAGGGCTAAGATAAAGTGAGGCTCTTGTAAAATGCTGATAGAACAAGTAGTGCGTGTTTCATGTATTAAAACACTCTTCCAAAATGTTTTTTTTTTTTTTCTGCAAAAGAAAGAATATCTTGCTAATTAGCACAGAGGCAAGGCAAATCCTGTCTGGGTAGGAACCTGGATTTCATCTGTGACACATACTTGGTTACATTTGATCTTCTGGTGCTAGCCGATCGTGAATTTCACAAAATGTTGAAGTGGGATAAATTAATGTCTCAGTCTGAAACTTTTTCCATCTCATCATCATTTGGCTTTCTAAAGTGTGGTAGTGATAATGTTAGGTTATTAAATAGAAATGTCCGATTTCCTTAAGTACTGAGTTTGACAGTTGATATTTCTGACTAAATTTTTCACTTTGACATTTATTTTTATTGTGAAGCTACATCTTCAGTCTTTCAAACACACGTTTTGGCTTGTGATTATCTTTCACATTTTTTTTAAGAACAATTTTTGTGAAACCATGGATAAGTCAAAAATTCGTGTTATTTTTGAATATGACTTTTGTCAAGGAACCAGTGCAGCACAGATAGCTCAAAATATCAACGAAGTATTTGGGAAGGATGTGGCTAATGAATGTACAGTACGTCGATGGTTTGAGAAGTTCTGTTCTAGTGATTTTAATCTTGAAAATGAACAACGTGGGCAACCTGAGACCAAGGTGAATGATGATGAGCTGAAAGCTGTAGTGGAAGCAAATCCATGTGAACCTATGCAGGAATTAGTAGCAAGGTTTGACGTTACTGTTCCAACAATATTGGACCATTTGAAACTAATTGACAAGGTAAAGAAGCTGAATAGATGGGTTCTGCATGATTAAATGAGAGTCAGGAGAGAATTCGTCTCAAAGCTTGCCTTTCTTTCCTGTCACGACATAAAGGTGAATCATTTCTTCACCATGTTGTTACATTTGATGAAAAATGGATTATTTTTTGACAATCACAAGTGTTCAGCACAACGGTCGGATAAAGATGAAGTGCAGAAACACAGTTTAAAACCAAATATTCATCAAAAAAGGCTAATGGTGTCTGGTGGTCCAGTGCTGGTATTATCCACTACAGCTTCGTGAAACCCGATGAGTCGATTACAGTGGATGTCTACTACAGCTAATTGGATGAAATGATGAGGATGCTCGTGATTAAGCAGCTGAGATTTGTCAATAGAAACAGGCTAATCCTCTTGCAAGACAACGCTCAGCCACATGTCGAACAAATAATGCTGCTCAAGCTACAGAGGCTGGACTTGGAAATTTTCTATCATCCTTTGTATTCACCAAACCTTGCACCAACGGACTACCAATTTTTCCAGGCTTTGGACCGCTTCTTGTAAGGAAAAATATTCAATTTTCAGCAAGCCATGGAAAACACATTTCTCGATTTCTGCGTCACTTGTTCTCCAGCCTTCTTCACTACTGGCATAAACAAGCTACCATTAAGATGGCAAAACTGTCTTGACAATTTGGGTGCATACTTTGTTTAATTGTATTGCTTTTTGTTTGAGATATAATAAACTATACTTTTGATTTGAAATGGGACATTTCATATTTGATGACCTAATAGTAATGGCCATCGTATCTTCCCGCTTTTTATACATTGTGTCTTTACTGATTGTAGCCATATCTATACCTTTCAAAACACCACTAGTATGCCAGCAGAGTGGCGCAGCGGGAGCGTGCTGGGCCCAAAACACCACTAGTTCTGTTTTCTGTGTTTATTCGTCACCATTATAAATTTAACAGGAACTTCTTTTGCTCCTCAAATTAGAGCCAACTCTAGAACACAGAAGCTTCTTACCTTTCTCGATCAGTACTCTTTTGCTATAGGAATTTCACTGTGTACTTCCCAGTTTCCCAAAGGAAATCAACAACTCTTCATTTTATTTTCAAGATAGCTTCTGAATATGTGAAAAATAGATTTAAAAGAGACTGAGAGGTTTTGACACATGTTCTAGGAAGTTGTATGTAAGCTTGAACATTTCTGATATAAAAAATCTTCTTTGGTCCTTTTGTAGAGTAGTGAAAATAATGAATACTTGTTAGTAGATAAAATCGCTAAACTTTGTCTTCTTCATAGCTTCTATATAAATTTACGGAAAGAGTCTGGGACTAAATTGGTGGATGGGACCGGCCACAGACCTCACTACAGCCTTCGGACTCTCTGCAGGGCCCTGCGATTTGCAGCCTCCAATCCGTGTGGCAGCATCCAGCGTTCACTCTATGAGGTCTTTGTAATGTCTGTTTAACTTAGAAGCTTAATGTATAAGCTCACCCTGGGAAGGAGGGAATGGGGACGTATATGCCAGGTTTGCCTGTGCTTTCCAGTTAATAAGATTAGCTGAGAACGGTTCATACCGTTCATACCAGAGCTACCCTGTCCTTTTATCTACCACCTTATCACATGTGAAGTTGGGAAGCAGTACCACCCAACAGGTTAAGTTTTGTTTCTGAAATAAGTTGGGCTGGTATTGCAGAAGGGTAATTAGAGTTAAGCATATTTGTGTTTTCTCTCTAGGGCTTTTGTTTGGGTTTCTTAACACAGCTTGACAGGGCATCACACCCAATAGTTCAGAAGCTCATTTGTCAGTACGTTGTCTCTGGCAATGTCAAAAGTCTGCTGAAACAGGTATGTTCTTTTTTGATTTTTTACTTGTTTAACATAAATAGGTTGCTGAGTTACCAAATTTTCAGATTTTTTAAAAATATATTTTCTTTCTAATTGTAAAAATAACCTGCTGCAAGAAGTTTAAACATTACAGAAATGTATGTTTTAGAAGGCGAACGTTTCCAATAATCATACCCTTTGGAAATTTAAATCCTGAGGATAACCCTTTCCAGCTAAATTG